ATATACTACTCTTCCAGGTTCCTAAGCTGGAAGCTTAGATGATTAACTTTAGGTATTCTTTTCTGACATACCTATTCAGTACTATAAATTTCCCTGTAAGCACTGCTTTCACTGCATCCCAAATTTTGATAAGTTGTATTTTCATTTTCATTCATTCAAAATATTTTTAAATTTCCCTCAAGCTTTCTTCTTTGGCACGTGTCATTTAGAAGTGTGTTTAATCTCCAAGTATTTGGAGATTTTCCAGTTATCTCTCTGTTACTAACTGCTAGTTGAATTTCATTGTGGTCTGAGAACAGACATTGCCTGATTCCTATTTTTTCAAATTTGTTAAGATGTGTTTTATGGCCCAGAATTTGGTCTGTCTTGGTGAATGTTTCATGTGACCTTAAAAAGAATATGTATTCTGCTCTTATTGAATGAAATAGTCTATAGATGTTAATTATATCCATTTAATTGATGATGTTATTGAGTTCAACTATGTCCTTACTGATTTTCTGCCTGCTGGATCTGTCCATTTCTGAGAGAGGGGTGTTAAAGACTCTAATTATAATAGTGGATTGATCTATTTCTCCTTACTGTCATATCAGTATTTGCCTCACTTATTTTCACACTGCATTGTAAGTCACATACATGTTAAAGAGTGTTACATCTTCTTGGAAAATTGATTCTTTTATCATTATGGAATGCCCTTCTTTATCTCTGATAACTTTCCTTGCTTTGAAGTATAATCTGAAATTAATGTATCTTATCTTCTTTCTTTTGATTAGTGTTAACAGGTTATATCTTTCTTCATCCCTTTACTTTTAATTTAGATCTGTCTTTATATTTAAAGTTGGTTTCTTGTAGACAATATATAGTTGGCATTTGTTTTTTGATCCATACTAACAAGCTCTGTCTTTTGACTGTAGATTTAGAACATTAATGTTTAATGTGATTATTAATTACTATTTTCTACTCATCACTGTCTTAATTTGTCCTCATTTTGCCTTCTGCTCTTCTTCTGCTTTTAGTGATTTTAATTGACCATTTTCTATGATTATATTTTATCTTTTTTATTAGTATATCAGTTATGTATCTTTGTTTTTCAGTGATTGCCCTAGAGTTTGAAATCCACTTTCATATAACACCATACTACCTCAGGGGTGGTGTGAGTACCTTATTATAAAATAATACATATATATGTGATTTTCCTAATTACATATATAAATATATAACATATATAAAATGAATATACATAATCAAATACACTGCTGTTACATTTTGATCAAACTGCTATCTGTTAGATCAGTTAAGAAACAGAAAAGGACATTTTTATTTTACCTTCTCTTATTCATTTTCCAAAACTCTTCCTTTCTTTAAGGAGATTGGAATTTCTGATCTTTGTAATTTTCCATCTCTCTAAAGAACTTCATTTTACATTTCTTGCAAGGTATGTATTTTGGGAAAAAATTCCCTCAATTTTTGTTTATCTGAGAAATCCTTTATTTTTCCCTTTTGAAGGATAGTTTTACAGGGTATAGAATTCTTGGTTGTTGGATATTTTTCTCTCAACAGTTTCAATATTTTACTCTACTTTCTTCATGCTTGTATGATTTCTGAGGATTATCCAAATATAATTTTTATCTTCGCTGTTTTATATGTAAGATATTTTTTTCCTTCTGGCTTCTTTTAGGATTTTTCTTTACTTTTGAAATTCTGCAGTTTGAAAATGATACTCTTAGGTGAAGGTTTTTTTGGCATTTGTCCTGGTAGTGTTCTTGAGCTGACTGACTCTATGGCTCAGTGTCTCACATGAATGTCAGGAATTCTCAGTCATTAGTGCTTCAAGTATTTCTTCCATTCTTTTCCCTCTGCCTTCTCCTTCTGATATTCCCATTATGCATGTGTTACACATTTCATACCTGTCCCAGTGTTCTTGATATACAGTTAATGACTTTTTTCCCCCAGTCCTTTTTCCTCTTTGCTTTTCATTTGCGATATCCTCAAGCACAAAGATTCTTTCTTCACCCTGTCCAATTAGCCTTGTTAGTAAGCTCATCAAAGGCATTCTTCGTTTCTGTTATGGTGCTTTGAATCTCTAGTATTTCTTTTTGATTCTCTCTTAAAATTTACATCTCTCTGCTTACATTGTCCATGTGTTCTTTCATGCTGTCTACTTTATCCATTAGAGTTCTTAGTGTAGTAATACTAGCTATTTTAAAGCCCTGGTCTGATAACACCAATAATCCTGCCAGACTGAGTCTGGTTCTGATACTTGCTCTGTCACTTAAAACTGTTCTTTTGCCCTTAAGCATGGCTTGTAATTTTCTTTTTTTTTTTGATAACTGGACATAATAAACTTGGTAAAAGGGACTATTGTAAATAGGTCTTTAGTAATGTAAGGGTAAGATGTTGGGAGAGATGAAGCATTCTATAGTCCTCGGATTAGGTCTCTGTCTTTTAATGAGATTGGGCCTCTGTACTGTGAACCTCACAAGTGTTTCTCAGTTGCTACATCATTAGGTGGGAGAGCACGGCCAGAGCGCACTGGAGTTGAGGATTTCCTTCCTCCACATGGAAGGCTAGAGCTGGTTAGAGCTGGGTCTTTCACTTCCTCTGCCAGGTTAGACTCTGATTAAACTTGATCAGGTTAGATTTTGGATAAATTGTTTCTCATGAAGGTAGACTTTATTAAGAACAGAGGGGTCAGGCATATTCAACATGGTTCCTTTTCTTCTCCTCCTCGTGTATAAGGGCAGAAGCATAAGGGCATTTTTCTCTGCTATGCACTCTATAACCTGGTTGAGCTCCTGGTGTTCAAACTCATGAAAGCATGGGGTGCTCCTATGACTGAGTCCTCTGTCTCTCAGGCTTGTGCACCTTGAGCTCCTGGCAACCAATCAAAGATTAGATTTTTCTACCCTGGTACTGGTTCCCACTGAGATTTCTTGTAGTGGGGTCCTGTTTTGGTGAGTTGCGATTCTCTGTATTTGCCTGTTTTTCTCTCCAAATTTGGAGGTAGCTGTTAGCCCTATGCTATAAGTTCACTTCCAGACCTAAGAAGAGTTGATTTTTCAGTTTGTAGAGGTTTTTACTCGTTGTTAGGACATAGTGGAAACTTCTCAGTTCTTTACATGCTGGATGGAAACCAGCAGTCTCTGCATTTATTTATTTATTTGAGGAAGATTAGCCCTGAGCTAACATCTGTGCCCATCTTCCTCTACTTTATATGTGGGACGCCTGCCTCGGCATGGCTTGCCAAGCGGTGCCATGTCCGCACCTGGGATCGGAACTGGTGAACCCTGGGCCACTGAAGCGGAACATGCGAACTTAACACTGCACCACTGGGCCAGCCCATGCATTTATTTCTAATAGAATATAATGTTGGGAAAACTCAACTGGGGATAATAAGTTTTTGTTTATTTGGTTTGTTTTATTTTATGCAGAGATATATAAAAATAGGGTTTTTGACTACCTCGATAAATATTTCTGAATTACTGACAATTGAGAATATTAACTTGTTATCAACAAAGTTTTCCTATTTAACTTACAACAATATTGTTACCTTGAACTTTGTAATCTTAAATCATAGTCTATAATTTTTAATCTATATTTAATGCATGATCATTTTATATGCACTTTGTTTCTGTTGAGTGTTTGGTATTTGCCTCATAATTTAAAAATAAAGTAATTTTAGACACTGCATACAATTTAGACAAAAAACACAGGGAAATCTCAGATGTCACACAGTTCTAATTTGTTTTCATGTTTCTTTTTTGAGAACGCATTTCTCTGAGAATATCTTGGTAATTGTTCATGTCATGTTCGATTTCCTTTTTGAGCTTAAAGATAAACAATGATTTACTAGGGGTATGTGTTTCAGGCCTAAGAAAATGAACATACTGAAACGTGTTGACACAAAAGATGAATTCTCCTCTGCCAGCACTTCTGTCCAGTCTCTAATCTTGCTTTATAATTAATTAGCTGTCAGATCTGCTAAACTTCCATGAAGAGACTACACAGATGTCATGGCAAATTGTTCCTGAAATTAAGATCTGAAGTGGGAATGTTCTTCCTCCTGACCTTACAATTCTCTTTATTGATTCTGCTGTCATTTTCACCTGTTCACAACAGAAAGAAATGGAAACAGTGCTTTGTTTCTAAGAAGGAAATGTCATGTAATAATTGAAGAAATAGTTTAGTGTTTATCTAAAAACTTATATATGTGTATGTGTATATATCTTTAAGTAACTACTCAGCACTCAAGTTTTGAAGTTGTAATATAAATGTCAGACAATACATTATGCACTTCAGATGATATCTGACATTTAAAATTGATTTGTAAAATTAAGTCATTGAAAATTCAATTGCAATAAATGACCAAAACAATATTCTTCAGCTTCTTGTCACTCTAAATTAATTTAACACATTTTACCTTATTTATTATTTGCTAAAAATTTATTGATTTTTATTTGTATAGAAATCAATTCAAAATTAGCATTCCTTATTTAAGTTCTGATGCATATTTTGGAGTCATCCAAGAGAGAAAATGTTCTTACTGCATTGGAATATATTAAATTAATAAGAATTAACTTTTTGATAATTTAATACAAAAGGGAGACTATATATTTGATCATATATTCATCAATATAAATATGTGCCATATTTTTGATACCACATTGTAATTAAAAATTCCTATTCTAATTTTTCCAATGAACATTTTATAATTAGAATGTTCGACCGCATTAAAAGTTTTATGGAAATATTTTTAATTGCTCACAATTCCATTGTATTAATTACAGTACACGGGTGTGATGTTATTAAGATAGTAACAGCACAATATTTGAGTATTCAATATTTATGGGGCACTCCAAGGTAAAGCACAGTCTTAACGCCTTCTTACACAAATATCTGTCCGCTTAAAAATTATTTGCTTAAAATACTTTCCCAAAACAGAGTTACTAGGCCTAAATCCTGGGCAATCACAACCCTTCATTCACACAGGGGTAAAACGTTACCTAACGAGGCGGGTGACGCCGAACTCCTTACTCCTCTGCCGCCTCTTTGAGCTGGCTTCATGGACCGCCCCCTGCCTTTCATCCGGGGACCGGGCAGCCAGGTCACGGGTCTCGCGAGCCTTAGGCACAGCACCCGGAAGCAGATGTGGCGGGTGGAGCCTGTCCTGCTTGACCTAGAGGGAGCTTGGCTGGAGGCGTGCGTGCGCTTGCTGGAGCACGTGCGAGAGCAAGGCTGTGCTGCTGCCAGCCAGCAGGCCTGGAGGGCATGTGCCAGCGGATGCCCCCAAGCGCCACCACGCCACCATGCGGTGCCCCAGCAGCAGGCCTAGCAGGCTGCCCGCGGCTGTCATTCCTCCTGAGAGTCCTGGGGGACGCGGAGGCCCAGGGTCAGTCAGGGGCTCCAGTGTGCCACTTGCTGCCACCCTGAGCCCCGGGAGGGGCCGTGAGGACCAGTGGCATGGACGCCACAGGCGAGGTGGGGTTCCCGAGTCTCCTGCAGTGTTAGGTCCAGTCACCCCGCGGGGTTCCGGCTTGATTCCGCTCCCTGCTTGGCCGAGTGTCTGGCTGGCGTCACGTGCCCCTCCTGCGGCCAGTGTTTCCTTCGCCTGTGTCATGTGCTGCTCCCTCCAAACCAGTGAGAGGGTGCTCCGGTGTACCACGTGCGCTGAGACGGGGTGAGTGTTCCTTTATCGTATCGGTAATTAGGCAAGCTGATGGATGCACATTTAACAGTTTTGTCGGTCTATCAGAACACTAATCTAGAGATAAATTGATGACATTAAAAATTTGGCATTGGTTGGATTTTCAGTTTGACTGGATTTGAATTCGGTTCTGATTTGTCACAGTAATAATACCTATAAAGGAGCTATCTTTACTTTGGGCTTATAGTATAAAAACAGCAGATGTCAAGGTTTGTTCTCAAAAATTTAATAATAAACAATAATAAGTTTTCCAGTGTGTATATAGAGATAGATGATTGGTATAATCAGATATATACATACATACCCATATATATGTACGGAAGGCCCCTGACTTATGCTGGTTTGACTGATGATGTTTTGACTTTTTGATAGTGCAAAGGTGATATGCGTTCGGTAGAAACCGTACTTGGAACTTTGAATTTTCAGCTTTTCCCACGCTAGCGATATGCGGTACGATCCTTCTCGTGAGGCTGGGCAGAGACAGTGAGCTGCAGCCCTCAGTCAGCCCAGCATCACGGTGGTGAACAACCGATGCACTCACAACCGTTCCTTACCCAGACGACCATTCTGGTTTTCACTTTCAGTACAGTATTCAGTAAGTTATGTGAGATATTCAAGGCTTTGTTATAAAATAGGCGTCGTGTTACATGATTTTTGCCCAACTGTTGACAAATGTGTTTTGAGCACGTTTAAGGATGGCTTGGCCAAGCTACTATGTTTGGTAGGTTAGGAGTATTAAATGCATTTTCCATGATATGTTTGCCTTACCGTGGGTTTATCTGCGTGTAACTCCGTCATAAGTCAAGGAAGATATATGTGTGTGTGTGGGGTGTGTGTGTGTGTGTGTGTGTGTGTGTGATATATATATTTTTACTTTTTTCAAAAACCAGGGCCGCTAGATTTCAGACTGTTACTCTATTCATTAGCTTTTTAATCATTATTCAGTAATTTAAATTCTTCTTTACATTTTTAAAGTCTTTTTAAAATACACTTTTAATGATTACACAGTTCTCAAAGTAAAGCAATTGCTTTTTTTCTGTTTCTTTTACCCAAACATTTTGTCAGCTGTTTATGTACACATAAAGAAATGTCGTCTCAGTAGTTGTTTAATACCTTATTACAGTGGACAGAAAATCTAAAAATCTGTTAAATTGATATGATTATAGAGACACCCTTTTCTCATTCTAAAGGAAATGTTAAATATAGTACATTCTTTTGTTTTATCATTTAATAGATTTGTATTAATGTGTATCTTTATAGGATTTTAAAAATAAGATATGAAATTGAATCACTGAAATGCCTCCTCAGCATCTTTGCTTTTGCAAATAGTATGAAACAACTATGAAATATTCATATTTCTTAAAATGGCTGTATAAATACAGTATGCTGTGCAGGAATGGTATGCAGAGGCTACTAATATAATGCAGAGTGAAAAGTGAATTTAGAGGTTTGTTCTGATGAATAATTTAAGCAATAAATTTGCCACAAAATTTAATGAAAAAATTGTATGTATAATGAAACAGTACAAAGTACGCTAAAACTCTAATATGAATTACAATACATAAACCTATTTTCACTTTTATTGGACAGTAAAAATGAAATCATCTATACATTCAATTTGGGAATTTTGAATTCTATACTTAGGTTATATTTAGTAAACAAATCTCTTTTTCTTGCCCTCAAAAAATTTCATTCACAGGAAAAGCTTTTATAAGCAAATGCTTGATTAAGGCACAGAGATAAAAGTAATTCTTTCTGGGATAGAGATAAAAATATTGATGTCTTCATCAACATCTGTGTGCCCCATTTGGTTTCAGTGCTGTGCCCCTTTGAAATATTGACTCCTCTGTGATTTTACCCTTAAAATCAATTATAGGGGAAAAATGAAACAATGAGTGACTGTCATTATTTGATTACTTTATATCCCAAATCATCAACCATTTAGCTCTATCATGTAATATTTTATTTTTTCTATACATGCTGAGCATGAAGTATTTATGGATTTTTTTCCTCGTTTTTCACAATCTTAAAATCCCTTAAAATCAACTGCTAATTTCATTTGTTTGTTGCTTTTAAGTAAATTAACTTTTTACAGCTTTTTACTGCTCCAACAACTTGACTAACTTAAAAGTAAACCTATTTTTTTTTCATAAAAAAAATAAAACTACTGGGGCCGGCCCAGTGGCGTAGCAGTCAAGTAGACATGCTCTGCTTTGGCAGCTCGGGGTTTGCTGGTTCACATCCTGGGCCTGGACCCACACACCGCTTATCAAGCCATGCTGTGGTAGGCGTCCCACATGTAAAGTAGAGGAAGATGGGCACGGATGTTAGCTCAGGGCCAGTCTTCCTCAGCAAAAGGGAGGCTTGACGGCTGATGCTAGCTCAGGGCTAATCTTCCTCAAAAAAGTAAATAAAACTATTATTTAGCACAAATAATTTATGATTATAATTTATGAATTCACTATTAGGTGACACCAAATGAATTCTCAAAGTTAAGCCAGTTAAAATTTCAGATTTGAAACATGACCAGTTAAGTTTTATATTAGAAAAAGAAAGATATTTGTAGTGTTGTAATAATTTCTAGAATATTTTTGAATCCTCTATTGAAGATAATATTTAATTTTCTATAGTCTCTAACAATGTATTTAAGGGTAATAAATGAAGCATAATAAAAATAACCTATGATAAGTCAGCAAGCATTCAAAATATGCCTCATTCAGAAAGTAACAAAAAATGACACACATTTCAGAAGTATCTCCTTCTTAGTCTCTAGGACCATATTGGATGCCATATAAAAATAATATTAAATGTCTTTTATAGGTATTAATAGCATATAGAGCCTATAAATTGCAATAGTATATTATCTTTTTTGAATTACATAAATACCACTTCTGTGTAGTGAGAGTAACCTGAAAAACTGTCCACTGACCAATAAAATTTTCAAAAAGCAAATGTTTAAATGATATTGTCAAAGTATATCTAAGACTCTAGCTAAAGTTTTTTGAATCTCTGGGTTTTTTAAACTGCTTTTTAAAGGTATAATTAACATGTAAATATTGCATATATTTAAGGTGTACAGCTTGATGTTTTGACATTGATACCTTGTGAGAGGATCCCATAATCAAGCTAATTAATATATCCCTCACATCTACCTAGTTTCCATTTCCTCTCTCTTATTTTATTTTGTGGTGAGAAGACTTAACTGAATACCTGACCCCTTTGCACATTTCAAGTGTACAATGCAGTGCTGTTGGCCATAGGCACCACGTCATACGTTAGATCTCAAGAATTTCTTCATCTTGCATGGCTGAGACTTTGTACCCTTTGGTCAAAATCAGTACATTCACTCCCTAGCCCCAGGCCCTGGCAGCCACCATTCTATTTTCTGATTCTATGAATTTGACTATTTTGATTCCACATATAAGTGAGATCATGGAATATTTGTCTTTCTGAGTCTTATTTCACTTAGTATAATGTCCTCCAAGTTCATCCATGTTGTTGAAAATGACATTCCCTTCCTTTTGTAAGGCTAAATGATATTCCATATTATTATGATAAATTTGTATATAGGAAAATGTAACTAAAATATATAAAATACATTTACATATGATATGTATTGTAACAATATATTTACATAGTATAGTTAACTTATTTTATGATGTTCTATATATCACCTTTCTTTGTCCATTCATCCGTTGATGGACATTTGGGTTGTTTCCTTATCTTGGCTGTTGTAAATACTGCTGTGCTGAACATGGGAGTGCAGATCTCTCTTAAGATTCTGATTTCTGTTCCTTTGGATATATACCCAGAAGTGGCTTTGCTGGATCATATGGTATTTCTTTCTTTAATTTTTTGAGGCACCTCCATACTGTTTTCCATAATGACTGGACCATTTACCATTACCAGCAGCAATGTGCAAGGGTTCTAATTTCTCCACATCCTTGCCAACACTTATCTTTTTTGTTTTTTTAATAGTAGCCATCCTAACAGGTGTAAGGTGATTTCTCATTGTGGTTTTGATTTGCATTTCCCTGATGATTACTGATGCTGAGAATTTTCTCATGTACCTGTTAGCCATTTGTATGTTTTCTTTGGAGTAAGACTCTATTCAAGTACTTTGTCCATTTTTTAATCAGGTTATTAGTTTTTTAAAACTTATTTTAGATTTGGAATTTCTTATAGATTTTGGAGATTAACCCCTTATCAAATCTATGGTTTGCAAATATTTTCTCCCATTCTATGGGCTGCATCTTCGTTTTGTTGATTGTTTCTTTTGTTGTGCAAAAGCTTTTCAGTATGATGTAGTCCCACTTGTTTGTTTTTACTTTTGTTGCCTGTGCTTTTGGTGTCATGCCCATGAAATCATTGCCAATGCCAATCCCATGAAACTTTTTCC